ACAAATAAATAACCCAACAAATACGTACGTTGTATAACATATTGGAAGATGACAAATGCTAGTGCTGAGGGGATGGGGACTGCTGGGTTGCCAGCTGCAGGGCCAGGCAGTGTGGTCTGGTCTGGGAGCCTCGCTTAGCAAGTGCATTGGAGCAAATGAGGGGCGCTATTTGGAACCTTAGCAGACCCCTTTGCTTACCTCCATAAAGTTGCCCTGGGATCAGCAGAGATGAATGTTGATCGTTCTGTTCATCAATCCAGTCTCTGGACATGCTGAGTGGCTTGTCTGAGTAGGACCATGGGCTCTGGTCCCCATGGAGGCAGCAGGTTTCATCACCAGGGTCACCTGAAGAGGGGCTGTCTTGGAGCAAAGCCTCAATCTGAATTGCCTGTGGTTAATGCCGCAACCGGCTTTGCAAACAGGTGCGAAGGGCGCCTTAGCCCGCCCACCTCCCGCTGCCTGAGCTCTGCATCCAAGAGGGCAGCTTTCCAGCAATGGCCAATGCTATTGGCAAACAAATGAGCTGTTCTGCCTTCAGGCAGCAGCCCTCAATGGGGTCCTGAACCTGGTGGGTGGAGGGCCCTGACTTTGAGGGGGGGGGAGGGTCTGTGAGGTCAAAGCTATTTGCATAGCATCATGAGGATGTTATTTGCCTTTCTGTCTTTCATTCTCTCATATGTACGGTGGAATTTTCCAGAGGTTATATGCCATGTAATAGCTCAACAGATTGACTGCAGAATCAGATTAAAATACTCCTTTTCTTCTAACTACGTATTTGCATGAAGCCTCATTTTCTTTATGTATTTCCATCAAAACAACATATTGCAACAGATTGCGTGCAGAAGACAGGAAAATCCAGCTGTCTGTGAAGCCGAACTTAAAGACATTTGCAAAAAAGTTCAATTTTTCTTCTTGCCAGGTTATTTTTGGAGAAGTATAGTTATTTTCCATGGAAAAAGATATTTATGTTAATATGCAATGAGTTTATTGTTGTGACTTATAAATGACTTCATAAATAAAACACATTTTTCAGTTTTAATTTTAATGTAGTAAATATCAATGGATATAATCCACTTTAACAAACAGAAAGGGTCTTAAGACCAAAAGGTTTAAGTAAGGCTGCTCTCAAGGACTTGACATGATGTCATATTCACATGTTCTTACAGGCACCAGACACCTGCTCAGGGCATCCGTCCTTGTTCCCAGATGTCACAGACACACGTGGCCAGATTTTGCCAGATTTCCCCACCTGGCTCTCTTTCAGGTGTCTATACACATGCGGAACTACCTAAGATTAAGGTCTATTTTAATGGAGAAAAAGGTGCATTTAATCCAGAGTGGGGAGAAGATGAACTTAGAGATGTCCTGGGTGTACCTGCCAGATATCTGGACCACTACAAGGCGGCCAAGCAGGGTCTTGGGAGAACACATTTGGCCTCAGGTTGGACCCATTAAAACAGACCTTAATCTAAAGTAGTTCCGCATGTCTACAGATACCCAGAGAGAGCCAGGTGGGGAAATCTGGCCACGTGTGTCTGTGATGTCTGGGAACACAGAAGGATGCCCTGAGCAGGTGTTGGGTGCCTGTTACAACATGTGGATGTGACATCATGTCAAATCCTCGAGAGCAATCCAGGACACTTGGGTGGAGGTGAGCAAAGGGGGCCTGCCCACGCCCTGGCCCTGAGAAATTTGGGCTTTAACCACTGGCATGCTGTTGGTCGCTGGCTCTGACACACCTGCCCATGGAATAGCGGCATCACAATCTCCCAAGTGGCTTATACATGCACAGGTTTCCATGCTCTGCCCAGAGCCCAACTAGTCACCATCTCTGGGGCTGGGGAGCGAGAAATCTGTATTTTTAAAAACTCCTTGCGTGATCTGCAACACAGCCAGGTTTGGGACTGTTTTGGTCAACCTGCTTGAAAGCTGTCAGGTAGTCACGGGGATGTGTGGGACGCATGCTGTTGGCCTGAAGTATTTCTCCCAGCTGCCTATTCAGCCCCAAAGTCCCTACCTTTGGTGACTTAGTTCTTTGGGGGGTAAGTCGCACCATCTCCCATGTTCTCTATTTACATGTAAACCTTCTCCCAAAGATTGCTGCATTTAGGTGGGTTCTGGAAGTAACTTCTTAGCAGGTGTATTATATTCTTGCTCCACCCTGAGTCATGAGGAAGGGCAGAAAGGATGGGGACAGGAGGGCCAGAGATTTTGGGAGGATATGAAAGTGGGGGGCGGGAGGGGCTGGTAACAAGAACTTAAGGACCTCAGGTCTCCTAGACAAGCAAGAGAACAGAGGACGATATTGATTTCTGATGACCTGACTCTCAAGGCAAGGAGTCAGCCAAGAAGTGTCTGCAGATTGTGAAAAACGTTGGCACACTGTCCCTAGCGCTGGATGCTAACGTTGCAGAGGAGGGGCCCAGAGGACTGACCTGTCAGCCGTCACCGCTGTTTCGAGCTTGTAACCAAGACCCCGCTCATGACCTTCCTGTTTCCAGTCTGGCTCCCTTTCCTACATTCCTTCCAGAGTAATCTTTCCAAACATTTTTGGCAATCTAGTGGGTGCGAATTAGTATCTTATTGTGGTTTATTCTCCTTTTCCCTGACTTAGAATGAGATTAAACACCTTTCCTTATGTCCATTGGCCATTTGGATAACCTCTTTTCTGAACTAAAGTCTTGCCCATGTTTCTATTTATCTTCTATTGTCATTTCTTATTGATTTGCTTGAATTTCTAGATATTCTAAATACCGAATCTTGGACAATTATCTGTGCTGCAAATGTTTTCCATGCTACAGCTTAGTTGCCAGCTTGCCTGGGATGATCCTACAAGAGCAGAATGAATATTTCTTGCTAAACCTGCTTGTGTTTCCTCAGCAGACACAGCCGTGTGGTCCCTCTCCACACGGTGCATGTGGAAGGAAGAGGCAAAGCCCTGTATGTGTGGACAGAGCTGTCTGACTCAAGTGAGGAAGGCAGTTTAAACTACGTGTTTGTTCAGTTTAAGAGGGTTACTTTTTTCTCCCCATCACAATTAATCACAAGCTAAAGCCATTAAAAAGGTGGGGAAAAATAGGTGAAGATGTTGCTTGGTGAGATTAAACTTAAGTTATGCTTCCCATGAAAGCAGAGAAGTTTTAACCATTCATCTTTAACTTAGTCCAGTAGAGTGGAAACACTTCTTTCCTACAGTGTGGCTGTGCCTGAGGACGTGTCAATGTAACTGAGATTTCTTCCTTATCTCAATGTGGGAAGTAAGCCTCTTTATATTACACCCTCTGACCAGGACCCACTTGGTCCCCAAGGCTACCAATAGTGACATTGCAGCATAAGCTTCCCATGTGTTCCTGCCTGGGAAACCATGTCTCTCTGACATCATAGTGATGATAGGGAAGTTATACGTTCCAAAGGGCAAATGAATCAGGGCCGAGTCATCCAGTCACTGAGGCCCTGGGAAATAATCCCAGAAGCTCTCGCAGGATGTGATGTAACTCACTGTAACTCATTTCAATCTCAGAACCCGTATCTGTAAAGGACACACTCCACCCTCTGCTCCAGCCTCATTCTGTTCTCATCTTGTTACCGGAATGGGGACTGGCCCTGTGTGGGTCTGCCTTGGGTGGCTGACAGTGTATGGGCTCTTGCCTTCATGCGGGAAAGATTTCACAAGTGAGTCCAAGTGATTCTGAGAGCACATTTATTAAAGCGGGGCCAGTGAAACAAGGGTGGGCCTAGGGTGGAAGAAGCAATGGGAGAGCATAGGCAGGGGCGCATAGCTCACTGGAGAGTCAGAGGAAAGGGGCCTTGGGGACAGGTTCAGGGGCTTTGCCAGGGATGAGCTGCTGCCACCCATGGCTCCCTGGTTGCAAGTCTTGTGGGGTTCCTTGGAGCAGTGGTCAGCAAACTCATTAGTCAACAGAGCCAAACATCAACAGTATAATGATTGAAATTTCTTTTGAGAGCCAAATTTTTTTTTTTAAAACTTCTTCTCACACCACTTCTTCAAAATAGACTTGCCCAGGCCGTGGTATTTTGTGGAAGAGTCACACTTAAGGGGCCAAAGAGCCCCATGTAGCTCATGAGCCGCAGTTTGTTGACCATGGCCTAGAATTTAGGAGATGCATGCCTGTGGGGGAAGGAGAGGGGCAGGGAAACGAGTGGGCATGAACATGTGAGCTGGGTCCTTGAGGGTTTTAAAGTCTGGGGGTTCAGGGAGGTCTTAGGGGAGCATGGGTTTTGATCTCTAGTGATTGGTCAGCACCAGGGCAAGTCAATGCAGCTGGTTGGGGTCCCCTGCCTGGTTTTATTGCTTTTCTGGCCTGGAGCTGAAAAACACCTGGGGCCTAGATGCTATCTCTCAGGAGGAAAGGTCTGGGGCCTACATTTCATGACCAGTGATACAGAAAGTCAGGGAGTTAAACCCACACAGCAAGTGACAAGCCAGGGGAGGAAAGACCACCTGGGGGTGAGGTCTGGCACCAGATTTATCCGTGGTTAGACACTAGACCTGTCCACCCTAGTGGCCTTCTGCATCTGCTGTACATTCCTTGGCCAGTTTGCCCAGCTGTCTGCCTCAGTTTCCCCATTCCACTTGCCAAGGAATCTCCCCAGTTTCTTACTATCCTGCCTCTGTCTGACAGATGAGACAATTGATGCCCAGAAACATTCAGTGATGGATGTGTGCAAAGTCGTAAGGACTGGCCATGACCAGGGTTCTCGTCACGTTTAAATCATGCTTTGCCAAGCTCAGCAAATCCACGGACATGAGGATTCCAGGGTCCACGCCGACATGAAGCAGGCCTCAGTTGAATGGCAGCCTATTCTGCACCTGCACCACTGTCCGGCTGATCTGCAGTCTTCAGAGGGGATGGGAGAGACAGCACTACAACCACAACGTCACATTGAGGGCCTCTCATGAGCGCAAAGCCCTTCCCACTCCCCTTAACTTTCAGAATGGACGGGGGGGGGGGGGGGGGGGGTGGCGCGGGGGATGAGACAGGCAGACCTGAGCTTGGCAGAGATGGAGAACTGTCAGGAGGCCCCAGGCCTCCCGTTCTGCCAGCCAGGACGCTGGCCGGGTTTGCTCTGTTCGTTGGCGCACATGCAGGCGACTAGCTGAGCAGCGATTCCGTGGGTTTTTCAGGGCCCATCTTGATTAAAAGGGAAACCTGAAAAAGTACTTCTCAGCCTTCCTGCGCTTCCCAGGCTGCTCACATGGAGGTCAGTGGGGAGGGAGGCGGCCTTCAAGACTCTCTATTAGACAAGTTATTCCGGCGTTCAGGTTCAGAAAATAATTCTCAGGAATATAGTGATGGAGGAATCTGATTTCCGCCTAAAGAGAGATTTTCCCCGAGGCCACATGGAATTGAAAAGAGAAATGCATGGGAAAAATGCCACTATGACCTTAAACACGCTGTCTCGGGGTCCACCCCATAATGAGGAATGGAGCGCCATTAACATATACTGCACGTGTTAATGACTCCACCAGCAGAAGGGGGGAAAAAAAGTAAAAAAGTTGAGCTCGGAGTCATTCTGGGAAGGAGGATTCTGCCAAGGAGATTTTAATGTCAAGAATCTATGAGAGGCTAAAAATAAGACGCTCACGCGCGTCCCAGAGCTGTGGGCGGGGATGTATATATAATATCAAATTAAATTCTTCCTTTTCCACTTATGGAAAAATCCAATGGTAAAAGTCGACTAGAAAACATTTAGTCATATTTCCCTTGGATGATGCTTATAAATACCAATCTCTAGACTTGTCAAAATAAACCCACCAGCGCTTCCTGGCCGAGGTGCTAGGTAGACAATAGCAGCCAGCGACATGCAGAAGAGCTTGCGGAGACAGCGTGCCTAGGAAAGCCGCAGGAATCAGCCCAGGCTCCATGCACGTGCCCGGGTAATGACGGGGACCCAGGAGAGCTGGTGGGGTGCAGCCCTGCCACAGCCCTGGGGTCTAGTTGAATTCTGGCTTGGACACAGCCTGCATTTCGTGCCTCTCAACCTTCTCCCGACAGGTGGTTCTGGAATCCCGTGATCTCTGCTCCCTAGAGAAAGAATAAAGCAGAAAGGGAAAATAATTGGACTTAGTGGAAAGGGGAGTGGGAACTTGAAGAAGTAATAGTTAGGAAGAACGTATTAGAGATCAGGCACTGTGCTAAGCACTCTCCATGTCATACCCCTGCTCTTCTTTCCCCACAATGACAGCCCTCATTCCCTCAGGTCAATACCAGAGCCCCGTGAGCAGACATCACTGGCCAAGAGGTAGGCACTGCTGTTAGCCCCATGTTACAGGTGGGCAAACTGAGGTTTATGGACGTTAGATAACTCATTCAAGGTCACGGTAGCTATGGATCCACAATGGAAGGATTTCAACCTCAGCCACTGGGATCCAACCCAGCCTTAAAGCATCCTATTATTCTATTTCCTCTGAGTGTCGCTTCCTATTCCCTGTAGTTTGTGTAGGAAAACAGCTGAAAAACAGCAAACTGAATGGAGCTGTGGAGGTTCTGCTACCAGTCACTCCTCTGAGCTCAGCAATGCCACTTGACTGGGTGGGCCTTTGTGTGCTTATCTTATCTGTGAAGTGGTCGTCACACTCCGTGTCCTTCCATGTCTGGGGCGCTTCCTGTGGACATGCTTGGCGCAAGGAAGGGTCCTCTCTGTGGGACCCGGGGAGGATGTTCACTGTAGAGGGTTTGTGGTCCAAGACAAAGAGCACGGGCCATGGCCTGGGCCTGGGCTCCCCTTTGTCCAACTAGTGACGTGGCCGGCACCCCTTACCAGTGGGGGAAGCAGACATTGCTGCTGAAGGCGAAGTAGACCAGGGGGTTGATGGCGCTGTTCAGGGCCGGCAGGTTCTGGATGATCACAGACGCGTAGAAGCGCTGCTTGGTGTCGGGAAGGAGGCTGAAGTTGTCCAGCATGTCGAAGAGGAAGTACGGGCTCCAGCAGCAGATGAAGGCTGGGGAGGAGTGAGCCGTCAGCACCCCTCGAGGCCCCTGCCCAGGGGACGATCCTTAGTGCCTGGGATCTCTCAGAAATATGTAAAACCATCTTGTGCATGAACCTTAATGTCCTGGTTTACACACACACACACACACACACACACACACACACACACACACACACATTCTCATACGTACACATACTCTCTCACACGTACATACACACCTACACAGTCTCTTACACACACACACACACACACACAAACACTCTCACACACAGGTACACACACTGTCACATACACACACATGTTCACACACACATACCTCACATACATACATACCATGTTTCCCTGAAAATAAGACATCCCCTGAAAATAAGACTAGCGCAACTTTGGGAGAAAAAATTAACATAAGACACTGTCTTATTTTCGGGGAAACAGGGTACACTCACACACATACACATTCTTTCTCACACACATGTATACACACTATCTCATACATACACACTCACACACACATACACTCACACACATGTACACATAACCCCTCTTTCTCTCACACACACGTACATAATCTCTCTCCACACAACCCCCCCCACCCCCCCAGATACATTCCTGGAGCTTCTCTTTCTGGAAAGAGAGCATCTGATTGGCCCACTGTTGGGACTCCTTGCTGAAAGCCTGGCATGGAGGGGTGAGATTGCCTTCTGAAGCACTTGGACCACGTGTGTGCTGTTGTATTTAAGGGGGATGGGTGTTGGGTGTCTGGTTCAGGTTTCCCAGGGTTGCCAGCTCTCCTGCCTGAAGCAGGGCAGTCCTACCATGTCCCTTACATCCTTTGAGTACCCAGCTGGACCCTCACATAACAGAACTGTTTACAATCACCCAGTGGAGAAACCTATCTTTTGACCTACTTATAGGGCAGGGCAGACCTCCATTTACTAAAGGTCTGCTCTTCACATCCTGCAATGACCCTTTGAAGCTCCCAGGGCACCTTGCTTCATCCCTAGCTCAGGATGTCTGACACACACGTGTCCCCTTTTTGTCCCAGAACCTCTCTGCAGGCAGCGACTTTCTCACAGATGCCGGAGTCCCTTCCATATGTATGTATTAATTTGGTTCTTTTCTCTTGCTAATCTTCTCATGTCGATTTGTTTATGAGACAAGCCAGAAAAACCTTGAGGGTAGAGGAAAGGACACCAGGGGGGAAAATTACTTTGCAGGGGGTAGGAGAGCATGCCAAGACTTCCGGCTTGCCATGTTGCCTATAATAAGCTTATTAGAAATACAAATACTGGTTAATAATGTGTTTTTTTTTTCAAAAGATGGAGTTATACATATGTTGATACACACACACACACACACGATTTGATATGTATGCTATTTTGTTGTATTGACAGAAGCTTTGAAACTTCATATGTCAAATTTGTTGAAGGTGTTAACATCATAGATATTATTACATTTTAAAATGTTGAAGTTTGTGCTAAAAAAAGAATATTTGCAGGAAGTTTTAATTCATTACTTTATTTTGAAGAAAAAGTTATTGTATACTTTGGGAAGCTTATTGTGAACATGATGCATCTCAAGATACTTGTGAACACTGGTTTAAATGCTTTAAAAGTGATGATTTTGATGTGAAAGTCAACACCCAGGTCAACTAAAAACGTTTGAAAACCAACAATTACAAGCATTATTGGATGAAGATGCTTGTCAAACTCAAAAGCAACTTGCAGAAAGATTAAACATTGCTCAATAAACAATTTTTTATCATTTACAAGCAATGGGAAAGATTTTAAAGGAAGGAAAATGGGTGCCATGTCAACTGAAAAATGGACAAATGGAAAACCGAAAAGTTATCAGGAATATGTTGATTCAATGGCATGAAAGAAAGTCTTTTTTTGCATCAAATTATGACTGGCAAGGAAAAGTGGATTTATTTTGAGAATTCCAAATGCAAAAAATCATGGGTTGATCCAGGTCAACCATCAACATGGACTGCAAGGCCAAATAAGAAGAAGACAATGCTCTACGTTAGATGGGATCAGTAAGGTGTAGTGTATTATGAGATCTTGCCTGGGAAGTATTAACCTACCCACCATATTCACCAGACCTTTCTCCTTCAGATTACCACTTGTTCCTTTCGACGGCACCCACACTTTCTGAGCTCTTCAAAATGTACCATGAAGTGGAAAATTGGGTCTCTGAGTGGTCTGCCTCAAAACAAGAAAAGTTCTTAAATTACCTGAAAGATGAGGGAAATGTGTAGCTTGCAATGGACATTACTTTGGATAAAGCACGTTTGACGTTGCTCTTGAAATTATCGTGTTTTCTTTGATCACAAAATCCGCATTATTAACTGGTACGCCTAGTAGAGCTCTGAAGTAGAAATATTAGATATAACTCCCAAGCTAAGGAAGTGGAGGACAAACTAGTCAATATTGCTTAGCAGTCAAATAAGATGAAGATTGACAATCAACATTGGCATTTGGAGGTGGTGGTGACCTTGATAAGGGTGGTTTTCCTGGAGAAATAGAAAAGAAAGCGGACAGAAATATGCTTCTGGGAATGAGAGGTAAAGAGTGGAGAAGTGTGCTGGCAAGAGCGTGGTGAAGTGGGGCTGTTCCTAAAGAGGTCATCCAGGCAGCTATTTCGTATGTTTATGTGCCTGCGACCCAGTGGAGGGAAATCTGTGTGGGGAGGAGGAGATAATTGGAGACACAACGTTCTTGAGTGAGCAGTAAGGTGAGATGCAGGCTCAAGAGAACGTGTTGGGCAGGGGAGGAATCCGCAGCAATGGAGAAAAGACAAAGGCACATGTCAGAGGTTCTTCCCCCCAGTGCCTGGGAGGGCAGGAGAGGGAGGAAGTTCCATTCTGCTTGGTAGTATTTCTCAAGGAAATAAGAATCAAGGTCATTAGCAGAGAGGGCCTAAGGAAGAGGACATTTTGAAGGTCTGCGGATCACAAAGAGCACACACCAATCTGACACAGATTAGGTGCTCCAGAAATACCCCCTTTTTTTCCCCCAGGGGTAAGGTGACTTTATGGGTCTTCAGAGTAGAGGCCAAGGGAAAGAAAAGGGAAGAAAACAGGAGAGTGAGAGAAGATAGGCGTCCATTAAGGAGGAATTTATAGGGACCTTAAAATTAGTCATCCAGAAGAAACAAACTGCCACATCTGTCTTCCTCTTGCTCATCAACCTCAGCCTGGGGGAGAGTAGAGTAGGCAGTCAAGAAAGCACCTGGGTCAATGGGGCGATGGTGAGCGTCCTCTTCAGCTAGTGGTCAGATTTTCTCCAAACTGTGTACCCCAGGGCCTTGGTGCAGAGCGAGATTAATGAAGAGAGAGATCAGGAACCCAAGGTGACCTTTGGAAGGGCTACAGATAGGCTGAGCAGCTTCACACATTCCTCTCCCAACCAGACAGAGATGGGTATGCATGCAGACAAAGCCCTTTCTCTCTGGACTCCCTACTAGCGCGTCCCGGGTACCAGCTTGCTCTTGGAAAGTCCTCGCGGAGCTGAAGCACCAACAGGGGCGGTGCTTACCAAGAATGATGACCATGCTGTATTTGATGGCCTTGATTTTTGCCTTTGAGAAGAGCTCTCGGTTGTACCTGGTGCACAGCTTTCCATCTGCAGATTCAAAGAAGGAGTGGTCAAATGAAGTGCTGTTCCTGCCAAGAGGAACATGGCCAGTTAGTCCCACTACTGGCACCGGGGCCACGAATATCCTGCTCTCCCATGGCCAGGAGGACGTCTTGGACATTTTTAGAGTAGAGATGGCGCTGGGCTGGATGTTGGAAATTGCTCAGTTTGAAGCTTACCATAAGATGAAAATGTATTGCAACAGTGGTTGGCAAACTCATTAATCAACAGAGTCAAATATCAACAGTACAATTGAATTTCTTTTGAGAACCACATTCTATTAAACTTAAACTTCTTCTAACGCCACCTCTTCAACATAGACCTGCCCAGGCTGTGGTATTTTGTGGGAGAGCCACACTCAAGGGGCCAGAGTGCCACATGTGGCTCTCGAGCTGCAGTTTGCAAACCAAGGGAGGCCTGGAGTCAGCTGCAGAAGCTGGAATGAGCGATGTGACCACAAGGGGCGATGCTGAGACAGCCATCTGATTGCTTTGGCAATCCAGGGCAAAGCCATTTTCTTAGAATGGACACCCCAGGCGAACTCATTCATCTAACTCAGAAACTCCAATCTCGACAAAGGCTCAAACCAGGGATATTAAAAAACAAAAACAAACCACCCTGAAGGGTATGAGAACACACTGGACTGTCAGCTTCATGGAGACAGGAACTTTGTATTTTCCACTCCTATATCCTCAGAACTCATTGATTAATATTTGTTGAATGAATTAATACAAACCTCCCTCTCTCTCGCTGAGCAGTGGTAAAATAAAGAATGGTGATGGACAGAATGCAGCACAATAGCTCTAGTTAAGTGCCAAGGCTGAAAAACCCTGGTTGCTAGGGAGGCATCTTGGGAAGATACAGGCTTCAGAGCCAGACTGGAATTCAACCCCGGCTGTACCAATTGCCAGCTGTGTAACCAGAGGCAAATTGCCTATGGCTCCCAGCCTCAGTTTCCCAATTTTAAAAATGAGACATGAAACACCAAGTTCTCAGGTTTTTTTTTTTGAGGATTCAAATAAAATAATGAATTCCAGATGCCAAGCCCTATGCTGAGCATGTCAATTTAAAAAAATATATATTTTATTGATTTTTTACAGAGAGGAAGGGAGAGAGATAGAGAGCTAGAAACGTCGATGAGAGAGAAACATCAACCAGCTGCCTCTTGCACACCCCTACTGGGGATGTGCCCGCAACCAATGTACATGCCCTTGGCCGGAATCGAACCCGGGACCTTTCAGTCCGAAGACCGACACTCTACCACTGAGGCAAACCGGTTTCGGCGACCATGTCAATTTTAATGGTGTTTCAGGAGGACTGTGAGCTGCCTTTATGGAGGCCAACAGAAGGTCTTCCTGCATTTAGACAGTTTCTCCTATAGTGTTGTTATCTCTGTATAGGAAGTACGTACACCCAAAAATTACCAGGGGGGATTAGGCCCATGCGAGGCAGGTCAAAAAGCCAGCCGACCAAATTGTCTCCTTTCCCAGTGTCCTGTTTGCTGGGGAAGCAGCTGACCGCGTTGGTTTTTCAGAAAAGTTCCCAGAATGACACTTGTGCTCTGAAATCTGCTTAAACTGGAAACACACTGTCCTCTGCACAGAGCAGCTGGGTGCAGCGAGCAGCTACCTGCCCTTCGCTCTCCCAGTAAGATCAGCGAGGAGCACCTTTCTTCAGTCGGACCACTCTGGGAAAGGCAAAGCCTGCAGCTCCTCAGGCCGGCTCTTCAAACACCGCCAGGCGACAAAGCGCCTTAATTCTCCTTTATTGGGAGATAAAAGGATTAATTCCACCAGCCCTGGCCCTGAACGGGAGTGAAAAGCAGTTACATCCAGCTGTCACTGGGCATTAATAGCTGGGGAAGGCTGGAGGCAGCAGGCTCATTAGATTCTGCAAACCGCCCTAGGCTGTTTCAGCTCAGGCATGAGTCCCTAGGGGGGCCGAGCTGGGAATTAGCCTCCAAGTGGCCAGCTCTGCTCCTCACCTTCCTCACACTGGGGAATGGAGCCACTGGGAATCCATTCCTGTGAGTTGAACACCAGAAGGGGGGAGGGGAGCCACCAGGGGCCCTTGTTATCCTGGGATTTTAAAATGAGGCAGAATTTATTCGCAGCCAGGAGGGGGAGCTATCTGTGGACCTATACTGAGTGCAAGTGGTTTGTTAACAAGGAATCTACCTAGTAGTATTTTAGAATAAATATTTTTCATACGTTAGGAAGTTTATATACCTCATGTTCATAAACCATTAAACATTTTAAGAAGGTATGTCTGGTCTCTACAATTTTTAAAAGATGAAATTCGTTTTTGATTTCTGACCATTGGTGTTCTCTTTGTCTATAAATATAACCCAATCTGCATGCTACATGTTTTTAGTGCATTATGTCTCACCTGCTTAACTGTGAAACTATGGCCACTTCCATCCTGAGGGTTTTTTTCCTTTTCTTTTTTGACCTTCTGGCAAAACAGAGGCCACGGTTGGCTAGGAGGAGGTATGACCTAGTTCTGTGGTCGGCAAAACTGTGGCTCGCGAGCCACATGAGGCTCTTTGGCCCCTTGAGTGTGGCTCTTCCACAAAATACCACTGCCTGGATGAGTCTATTTTGAAGAAGTGGCATTAGAAGAAGTTTAAGTTTAAAAAATGTAGCTCTCAAAAGAAATTTTAATCGTACTGTTGATATTTGTCTCTGTTGACTAATGAGTTTGCCAACCACTGACCCAGTTCACCTAACTCACAGACTTTTCTGTTTCTCAGCTCCTTAGCTCAGGCAGAGCCAAGATCCCTGACAAGCCTGAAATCACTGTGGCAGAGACAAATTAGCTTTCATCAGATCATTTCCCCTGGGACCCACAGCTAGACCACATTTCCCAGCCTCCTTTTCAGCAGGGTATAGTCATGTGTCTAAGTTCTGCCTATGGGAACACAAGAAGAATACTTGTACACTAGAATCAGGCCTGGGTCATATAAAACACCTCAGTGCATGCCGTGTGGCTGTTCTGAGTGAAGTTTTACTGCAAGGGAATTGGGGGAGGTTACATGGCCATCTCAGGCTCAGTCTACTGGGAGCTGGAGTGTTGGGTCAGGGGAAAGCATGGATGCTGTTCCACTGGCTTAGGTCCAGGATTGCCCTGTGGATCAAAGGCAGATTTCTCGGTCTGTGAATTCAGCTCAATAGAAATGTCCGCTCTGGTGTTTGATGAATGGATGGTGTTTGATTGGACAGTCCTCTCTTCACTTGTGTCCTCCTCCTGATCAGGCCTGAGAGAATGGGATCACCCCAGATTCTGGCTCAAAGGCTGCTTAGCAGGTCTCTCGGCTGGTACAGCTTGGCCAGACTCACAGTCCTCTTCCTTCTCCCCGTTTCCAGGGAGCCAGGTGGAGGAGGCAGGGCCTGACTGGGAGGGAAGAGGAGGGGGGACTTCCATGGGGGTCTGATCTGCCCGCTGGGCCATAGCACAACAGTGCAGGCTTGCTGTATCCCCAGCCCAAGCTCCTGTTTGCTAGAGGAAAACCTCAACAAAGGCAAAGTCCTCCAAGAGTTAGAGGCTTACCCGAGCAGTTGGAAATCACCGTCTCGTGGGCTTTGCTTTTACTCCAAATGGTTCGGATCACAATGGCGTAGATGACGCTGTGAAAAGGAGCAAAGGCAATAAATGGCTGCTGGGTGCCCGCCTGAAGGACACAGAAGGAGGGCCGCTTCCACTTCCTGAGTGTGAGGTATGACGGGAGGGGTGCTCTGTATTTGCTGATCGTAGACTCAGCCAATTGCAACGGAAAGCCTCCAGAAAGATCAGCGGGATGCAGCTACTTTTTGAAGTGAGGAGGCCAAGGCTGGTAGCCTTAAATTTCTCTAAAATCACCCCAGTGGTTAGAGGTATAGTTGAGATTAGGATTCAAACACAGGGCTTAGGGTGAGAAAGATTTAGACTTGTAATTAGCTCTACTGCTTGCTGGTGGTATATGCCCTGGACGTTAGTCCATGGTTCCTGCCTCCAGTGTTCAGCCTCTGTGTGATCCTCTCCATTGGGTGTGACAGGACCTGTGACTTGCTTCTAATCGATGCTCGGGATGAAGGTGATGGGATGCTCGTGGTTACATGGCAGTGTAGCACCTGTCTTGCTAGTATCTGCCTCCATTGCTGGCTTTGAAGAATCACACTGGGGCTGCAGAATCAGGAGTTCTCCAACCCCAGGGGAGTAGTTCTGCCAAGAACTTGTGAGAGGTGGGGAAAGATCCTTCTCTGATGGACACCGCAGCCCTGGCTGACACCTTGGTGCATGCCCTGCCTCAGCAGAAGACCCAGATAAGCCATGAACAGACTCCTTACTCACAAGAACTATGAGATAATGAAGTGTGTTGTTTTAATCATCAGGCTCATGATCATTTGTTATCAAACAATAGATAACATAGCAATTAGAGTAATATAGCCTGAATGTATGTGTCCCTCTAGAACTCACATGTGGACAATTTAATGACCATGTGATGGTATATGAAAGCGGGGTCTTTGGGAGATGCTTAGGTCAGAGGGTAGAGCCGTTCTAAAAAGAGACCTTCGCCATTCCACCAGAGAGAAGTCTGCAGCCTGGAAGAGGAACCTCACTAAACTCTGCTGGCATTGGACCTCAGACTCCCAGCCTCCAGAACTGAGAGGAATGCTTTTCTGTTGTGTAAAGTAGAAGTCTGTGGTATTTTGTTGTAGCCCAAACAAAGGCAGTGAGCCCCAGTTGAAAGTGGAAATTGGAGTTAACAACACAAACCTCTTCAGAGATTTCTGGGATCAAATGTGACAACATTTTAAATGCCAAGCACAATGCTTGAAAATTATCTGAGACTCAATAAATGTCATTTTCTGTCCTCTCTCTGCCATTTTTCTCTTCTTTTTAAAAAAATATTTTATTGATTTTTCACAGAGAGGAAGAGAGAGGAATAGAGAGTTAGAAACATCGATGAGAGAGAATCATCGATCAGCTGCCTCCTGCACACTCCACACCGGGGATGTTCCCGCAACCAAAGTACATGCCCTTGACCGGAATCGAACCAGGACCTTTCAGTCCACAAGCTGACGCTCTATCCACTGAGCCAAACCGGTTTTAGCTCCGCCATTTTTCATGTAGTATCACATCTCTCTTATGTGATATAATATGTATGTGACAGGAAATCAACATGTTCATGACTCAAAAGCGGCAACATTTCTTACTATGTCTTCTTTGGTAAATATAACAATCCATACCCTTCTTTCTTGTCATTTGACATTTTCAATATATTAAGTATCTCCACTAAAAACTTGGGGGAAAAGCACTACTTTATTTTAAAGCTCCACCAGCTTCCCTCTTGAGAACCACTGCTTAAGAGAGAAATCGGAGCTCCAGTCTGCAGCAGCTGACAAGGCACTAATTGCTTTTAATGATCTTTACAATATAACTTAATTAATGACTGTTAAAATGCTCTGCTTCTTAATGCTTTTGCTGTCTTGTTCAGCCAACCCCTCTGAGAGCTCTAAGGAAGCGAAAGACCTTTTTGGAGCTTCCCCCCTTCCCCTAAGACAGCTGCCCAGGGATTTTTCTGGAATTTGCATGTCTACATTAAAGAAACAAATGAGAACAAAAATTACTAGTGAGTCTATTCTTTACTTAAGTCGAACATTTGTTGGAGCAGGGAAACTTTTCCCCAAGGAAATGAAATCCAAGGAAAGTTTACAGCCACACGAGGTGCTGTATATTATAATTGCAAGTCCAGTACTTAATTGATCACTAATTCAAATATTTATTAACAATTGAGCAATAATTCAAATATTTATTGACCACCAACCACATACATGGTGGAAATGAATAAAGGTCTTATGTGTTAGGGGTCTGGGCCTAAGTCACCCCCACCTCATCTTTGTTTTTTAAAAATATATTTTTATTGATTTCAGAGACGAAGGGAGAGGGAGAGAGAAATAGAAACATCAACGATGAAGGAGAATCATCTATCAGCTGTCTTTTACACACTCCACACTGGGGATTGAGCCTGCAACCCAGGCATGTGCCCTGACCAGGAATTGAACCGTGACCTCTGGTTCACAGGTCAATGAACCACACTAGCCGGGCCCTACCTCATCTTTAAAGGACCAGTGAGGCAAGTAGAAAGCCAGCCCCAGCTTTCCTTTTCACCAGGAAAATGCCTAGTAAGGAGGGCACCCCTTTAATTTATTACCCAAATCTGGCCACTTCTTGGGCTGTAGCAGTCAGGCATCAGAGAGACCTCAGAATTACATCTGTCTCCTCTTTCTTCCTCATTTTTTGTTTCAAAGTAATCAGCAAGTTGTGTGGTTTGTCCCTGCAAAGTGTCCCCATTACCTGTCCCTGCCTCTCCAGCCCTGCTCTTCAGGACCCGTACAATCTCTTTTTATGTGTGTCGGTGGGTTTCACTGTGATCAAACACACAGAACATAACATGTATCATTTTTACGTGTGCAGTTCAGTGGCATTAAGAACACGTACATTGTTGTGCAACCATCACCACCGTCCATTTCCAGAACATTTTCATCTTCTCAAAGGGAAGCTCTGTCTCCATTAGACACAGAAACATGGAAAGCTTCGTGAATGGATGTGCTATTCTCACCCGGAGGCCATGCTGCCTGCTCTGTATCACTCCGATCTTAGTGTGCTTGCTGCCGAAATGGGTACCCCTTCTAGTCTCCTGTCTGATTGCTGCCTCTGTCTTCTAAGAACTCCACTCTGCTACCATGTTGGATGCTCACCCCACCACGGGAGCTGGTGCTCCTGGGCAGAGAACCTTCCCCCAGCTCCAAAGCCCTCCAGCACCCCCTCTTTCCTACAAGATGACACTCAGTGTCTTATGTGGAGCACCGGAAGCCTCCCTCGTCTTCCTCGGCCTTCCTCACTTTGATCATTACCATCCTCCCATAGGTATAAGTTTCACACATAGTCTATAATACAGCAACATATTTTATATAATACATTGTACATGATTATGAAGGAGCAAAATGCTGTGAAGACATAATGTAGGTGATATACGAGTATATAATAGGGGTCCTGACTTGCCCTGGGGTCAGGGACAACTTCTCGGAGGAGGTGACCATTCAGCTAAGATCTGAAGGGGAAAATGGTGTTTTAAATGCAGAGGGAGATGATCCCTCAGGCAGAGGGAACAGTATGTGCAAAGGCTCAGAGGCAGGAGGGAGCATGGCACCACTGAAGAACTTCAAGAAGGCCGGTGTTGGCTGTGCCTGTGGGCGGTCAGCGTGTGTATGTGGCCTAAGATGAGGATGGCCTTGTACACAAGGTTGCAGGTCTTGAGTGTTAGCATGAAACAATGGAAACTCACTGAAGGGTTCTAACTAGGAAAGTGAAATGACTGCTTGACAGTTTTTTGAAGATCAGGCCTTTTTCCTGTATGGATGTAGTATTTCTATACAGATGCAGAGCCTGGTGTCTGATCTGAACGGTCCTGGAAAGGTATACCAGACGTTCCTAACAGCGCTGCCTCTGAGGAATGGGGCAAAGGGGATGTGGGGGAACATTTTTCTCTATCATTTCATACTCTACTGCATGCTTTGCACTTTTCCAAACAAAATAAAGGCTCTGTCTGCCGTAAGGAATAGGCATGTAAAATAGATAGGAAGCTATTGCACTGGACAGAATGAAAGATTGTAATAACCCTGGGAGTGTATACCGCCTCAACTGTCCTTGCATTTTAATCCAAGTCCTGGTGAAACGAATACATAGTGTGGCCTAAAGTTAGAGGGTTGAGAATATGCCAGCCTCCACATGGGCTTCCCAGTCGGGTCCCCATACCCCAAGGAAAAGCAAGTAGATTTATTTCATTAGATCACGAATCAGTGCTCCATGCCAAACATGCTTTTACCCACTTACACCTTCGCAGTTGTCAGCCCTGGATCTTTTATGCCTCTGCCCTGATATCATGGAGATGAAAATGATCGGAGAATGAGGTATCAATTAGGTGCAAGCGAATAACCACAGCCAATGCAAGGCACTGCGGCAGAGCTGACAGCCGCCCCAGCGGCAGTGAGACAGGTGTGACACGTGAATTTGAAAACAACGGAGTGGTGTTGACCCAGAAAAACACTGCATTGCCTTTAATGTTACTCATGAGGATTTCAAGTCCTGGGAGCCTGACTGAGCTAATGACAGAACAGCTACATCTTTATTCAGACATAGCTCTCTTATGAGCTTGCCACAGACAGAAAGACTCCTCTTCGCCTCTCTCTTTTCTTCCCTCCTTCTTTCCATCACAGACATTTACAGAAGATCTACCATTTGCCAGAAATGGATCTAGGTACTAAATGGCCAGAGATGTCCATGTTGTGTGTGTGTGTGTGTGTGTGTGTGTGTGTGTGTGGTGCGTGTGCAGGGGGTATGCTATTTCCAAAGACAACACAAAAACACCCAAGTTGGGTTGTAGGTAAGTTTGATGAGAAGCCCTGGTGGAAAGAAGCAGCTCAAATGAATGGGGGACAGTGAGAGACCCACATGGCAGATCTGGCTGGACAGCACAGGGGGAGCCACTGCTGCACACAGGCATCCGCCCTGCTGAGCAAGGGCTTTGACTGATTTCATGAACTGACAGGAAATCAATCAGGAGAGAAGCCAGGACCTGCGGCTGTCACCGAAATTGATCAGTCAGTTGCCCATGACAGCCTGAGCCTCTTCCTCCCAAATAGTTTCCTGGGGCTGGGGCTAGGACAGACCTCTCTCCTCACCACGTGCCCCTGCTAACGTTGCTATGACTGCCCTTTCATTGGTTGTCTAAATAACCTTCAGCTCTCCTTCATGATCCCTCCCAAATTCAAGTTGGTGGGGAGGAGCATAGTAAGTTAAAATTAACTGCGGAGGTTAATGTATCGACTGAGCAGAATGACGGGGCAATCTGTAATCTCAGCCAGGCTGCTGGGCTGGCTTATGGGGATCACGCTGCCCAGTTTGACCTCTGATGGGGAGCAAGCCATTTCAGTCCTTTTAGCCCTAAGTCTGTTCTTGTACAAAATTCAGCTTTAGTATTTTTTCTTTTTCTGAGACTAAATGTGACCAAAGAGGAAGAACAAGAGATTCCCATAATATCAGAAAACACTTGGACAATACCTAACCACTTAATGATCAAAGAAATGCATATTGAAACAATGAGATAGCTTTTCTTTAAACTCTATGACTGGCAAACTATATATATATATATATATATATATATATATATATATATATATATATATATATATATATATATATATGGCTAATATGCTAAATGTCTGGCCATCCAGGTAATGACGTCATGTAGCAATGTCTGCCTTCCTCTCCCTAGTGACGACTAGCTCCTTGCAGTCTTTTCAGCCCAGGAACATGACTTGATTCATAGTCAGGTGCAAACATTTTACACTTTAACCAAATGTCTGTGAAGCATTTTTCTGTGCTTCATTTGATTCTCACAGAAGTCCTGGAGTAGGTAGATAGGAGACTTGGTGGAATCCTGTTTTCTTTTCACTAGCCTGAAAATGGAGATTTAGAAAGCTTAGAAACTTGACCTGACTGAAAAGAAAAATTGTTGAACCTTGAAAATGACTTCAGGTTTTCTCACTCACAGAATATAGTCAAACACTGCTGCAGTTAAATATTTTATCCTCAGTTCTCCCTGCATGATCTACCATAATAATCTGCTTCATGTTGATATTTACTGCTGTGTTGCTGACAATTATCTGAAAGAGAAGTTGGGGTGCTTCACTGGGCTGGGAAAAGTTCAGCTAAATCAGAAGGCAGGTCTAATTAAGCAAGTTTACTCCATATATATAAAAGGCTAAGTTGACTCCTGCATACACAATACATATAAAGCTCTCACTGGCGCCAATCGCACGCCTGTGTTTCCATCTGTCATTGTTGATTGTGAATTTGGTTGACACTTCTGTTATAGAGAAAGGGCAAATAGTGATATAAAAACATTTCTTTTAATTAATTTCTTTTCATTGTACGTGGGTCCGTGCACTGGGACACTACTGATTTAATAAAGAAATGGTACCATCTCCCATCGGGTCAGGGGGAGAAAAGCCAGGGTTTTTATTTGCTGTTGGCAGGAAGCCCCTTTTCCCAGAGGACAGTTGATAAATATATATCAATATTAAAGTGAGCATCATCTTTGATTTAGTAAATCCACAAAAAGAACTTAGGAGGAACTGATCAGAGACTCAGTGATTTTTTTTTTTTTTTTTTTTAAGGATAAGAGTTTTTATCATAGCACTAGAGGCCCGGTGCACAAATTAATGCATGGGTGGGGTCCGACTGGGGAGTGGGGCTGTGGGAGGTTGGCCAGCTGGCCCTGTCCCCTTCAAGTGGGTTGGCTGGCTGCAGTGTGCGTCATAGTGACTGGTCATTCCGGTTGTTCTGGTCACTTAGCTCTTACCGTATATATATGTGTGTGTGTGTGTGTGTGTGTGTGTGTGTGTGTGTATATATATATATATATATATATATATATATATATATATATATATTGTTTACGCTACCAAAGGCTGGTTTCCTTTGCCAAGGACAAAGTACGTGAAACCCCATGGCAGGCATGGGGACACTTAAAGGGTGCAGGATGGCAGGATCAGCATGCCCTGCATCCACACTGAACACCCAGATGGTTCCCTGAAGCCCCACTATGCACTCCACCCTTCCAGAGGTGGTCCTGTCACATGACCAGGTGAGACCTGTCCTGTCCAGGTAGCTGTGGTCTTCTCTGCTGAAAGACCAGCTCTGACACACCATTGGCCTTAGGACAAAGGGAACATCCTATGGCTTGGTTTCTAAGGCCCTTCCCAGCAAGCCTCCCCCCTCCCCAGAAAGAGCTTACTGCCAACTTTTCTCCCACTGGCTCTGCCTGCCTGTCCTTTCCTGTTTCCATACTCACTCTGACCTCCAGTCACCAGGGAGCCAACTGCCCCTCTGCTTTCTTTCCCTTTCTCCTGTCTGAGTTCTTCTATCTTTCAATGTGGCTTTTGGGAAATGCTCCCTGCCATGACCTGACCTCCTGCACACACACTCTACTTATGTTTTGTGTTATTGTTGTTTTTGCTCAGTTTTGTTTCAACTATTTTTTCAGTGATAATATCTCTGGAACTGGTACTATGTCTTATACTTGAAAGGCTGGACAAAGAGCAGGGAGTGAAATCAGACAGACCTGGGTTCAAATCCTGTGTGATGTTGGGTCAGTTACAACCTCTCTGAGCTTGAGTGTCATCATTTATTAAATGGGGACAGCAGTAGTTCTTTCATAGAGTTGAAGCATGGCTAATGGGGTAACTGTTAGCCAGTTAGCCCATTGCCTGTCTCATAGCGCACACTCAGCAAATGTTAGTGCCCTGCTCCTTGCTCTACATGGAGGAGTTGGGCTTAGCACAAGCTTTAGATAAAAGCATGTGGCCTGGCCACTTCCCCCAAGAACACTAGGCACAGTGAGTGGGCTGTAGGGGAGGAGAGTGGCAGTTGCCAAACCAGGAAAGCTCCCTTGGGGTCTGGCCTGCGGGCCTCTTACCTGATGATGGCCAGAGGGATGAAGTACACCAGGAAGGCCACAACGGTCATGTACGGGGTCCAGTAGGAGTCATCAGGCCACAGGGCCCAGCACTGCACCTCGCCGTTGGAGAGCTTCCTCTTCCCAAATATGATGAGGGTGGGGATGGAGAACAGGAAGGAGAGGCCCCAGGCAGTAGCGATGAGCACCTTGGCTTGCTTTTCTGCTCAGAGAAAACAGAGGCAGGGCTGGGCCTCACTAATTTCACAGTGAGGAAATACATGGCTTTACATATTTAAAAGGACACTCCGATATTCATCGCTGCCTTTCCTGTAATTTAGGATGCCATTCAGAATGCTGCACAGTGTCTCTCAGAACTCATCATCTTTGCTCTGAGCTAAACAATTTTTTTTTTTTACCTAGTGAATATAGGGAAACATGTAACTGACCATGCTCCCCTCTTGGCTCTCGATCCCAGGCTCTCCACTTCCAGCAGCTGTCCCGAGACACACCCACACACTTCCTGTTACGTACTTTTCCTTCTCCTATTTCAACTTAAAATACGCTGGTGGAGGTGTCGCACCATGGGGTATCAATAAAAAATCATTTATTTTATTTTATTTTATTTTATTTTATTTTATTTTATTTTATTTTATTTTATTTTATTTTATTTTATTTTATTTTATTTTGTTGATGCTTGGAGGTGTCTTTTAATAGACCACATTCACTCCTTCCTGGAGCCAGCTGGGCATACGCAAATGGATGAATAAGTGTATCACACCTCTGTATACATGTATTGTAGACTGCCTCTCCCATTTCCCCTCATCCCATTCCCTGCTTTCTTCTCTACCATAATCCCCAGGGCATGGCAGTGCTCAAAAGCTTGGTGCTGGGCGCACACACACACACACACACACACACCCTAGAGAAAGCCTACGAAGCAGGTAAACTCAATTACTTTGAATTGCACACAATAAATTGATATGTTTCAGGTTAAAAATTACCTTTTTGCATGTGGTCACTATGGCTTGTCCAACTTTCATTCCCAGAAGTAAGGACTCCCCTTTTTCTTGCATTCTCTCTTCTGCCTCTCTCTCAACCATATCTAGCATTGCTTTGACTTTGTCTGTATATTAATCTTATCATTCTTCATGGCTTCCTCTGCATGCTGTTGTATCACTAAACATTTTTATGTCAATGTATTGTACATGACTGCCCATGGCTCTACCACGTCCTCATTGAGAGAGACAGGGTGTGTCACAGGCAGCTGAGCTAGACCCACACCACCTGAGTTCAAATCCAGCCCATGCACCTACAAGCTGCATGACCTTGAACAAGTTACTTTTACTTTCTGAACTGTAATTGTCCAGACTGGAAGATGCAGATAACACTAGAGCCTACCTCACAGAGCTGTTGTGAGGATTAAAATGTTTAACATATGTAAAGAACTTAGAGTCATGGATGGCACATAGCATGCAATCAATGCACCTAAGCTACTGAAACTTCTTTAGGACAGCTAGCCATTCCTCCACTGAGGGACACCCAGGGTGGAACTGGATTTCTGCCATTCTAAGCAATGCTAGAAGACACAGCTCATATATGTATTCATGCACCCAGAGAAGATGCCAAGAAGTAGAATTTCTATGTCAAGGGCTACACATTTTACTGTATTTCCCAGCGTATAAGATGACTTTTTTTTTAAATATATTTTATTGATTTTGTACAGAGAGGAAGGGAGAGAGACAGAGAGCTAGAAACATCGATGAGAGAGAGAGTCATCGACCAGCTGCCTTTTGCACACCCCCTACTGGGGATATGCCCGCAACCAAGGTACATGCCCTTGACCAGAATCGAACCCGGGACCTTCCAGTCCCCAAGCCGACGCTCTATCCCTTGAGCCAAACCGGTCTCGGCTAAGACGACTTTTGAAACGAAAAAAAAAAGCTTGCTCAGATTGGCCAGAGTCAGAGAGGTGGTCTATTAAAAAAAGAACTGGTGTTGCCTCGGAAGTGGGGGGGTAGTCTTATACAGCGAATATAGGCCTAAACCTATGTTTTAACTGTAAAATTAGGGGGTCGTCTTATACGCCAGAAAATACGGTATATTTAATTAGAGATGGTTAAGCTGCCGAAGTATCTGCTCCAATAGTATGTATTCAGTAGTATCTGATGACATTCATTCTATTTAGTCTAAAATTCTGCTTGCTCTATTAATTTTGCTACCTTGGGTATACATTTTGCAGGATGGTGTTTTAAAGACATCACCTATTTTCCATAAGTTGGCTTTTGTCACATTTTAATGACACTTGACTACACCTTGTAGTCCAGATTTCATAGCAGGCCTCCAACACAGCAGCTGGCTGAGGCAGCTCACCTCCTTGCAGGAACTTCATGGGGTGGACGATGGCGTGGTATCTGTCTATGCTGAGGGACACCAGCACGTAGGTGGAGGCGTAGAGCAGCACAACCTGGAGGTAGAAATGAGAGGAGTTGAGGGACGTCACAGAGGTGAGGGAAGGCACCGAGGGGGAAGAGACGTTCTTTGTGCTGTTTGGAAAGCCGGGCACTGAACGCTGGGGGAAATGGGGTTGGGTGAGGGAGGGGAAGACTGCCTTCCATTCTAGGAAGCAGAACGCTGTTCTTGATGCTGGAACTGGCCTCGCTAGTGGTGACAGTTGAGAATGCTCCCCCTTCTCTGGCTTGCTCACTCACTTGGCTTCTTGGAGACTCCGCATTTCAGAATCAGCCTCTTGGGACATGTGCAGGGTACATTTGCTGGTGCTTGACTTTTAAAGCTAAATCTAATTTTCTCTGTCACCACGGACATTCCAGAATAATTAAACACAAAACGTCCCCTTGCCTTTTATCTGCAAGAGTTGCTGAGAGATGATGAAAGGAGGGTTTGGGTAGGAACGGGCTGGTTTAAGTCACTTGTCATCCTCGGAGAGGACACTCAGAGATCCCGTTCCTCTACTTCCCCAGCAGAACTCCTCCCTACAGTAGGTCCTCAGGTCTCCCGTTCCTACACCCCACCCTCTCCTTTATCAACCTTGCCCAGCCCTGTTATTATCCGGTGTGCAGTGCTATTTGCATACTTTGCAGAGAAGGAAATTGGGATATGAGACCTTAATATCCCTCGTGTGAAGTGCACACTCCAACTGTAATGACAGGAAACAGCTCCAAAAGGACAAGCAAGGAGAAAAGACCTCAGCTGACTCCGAGCCTCTTTTTACTTGGAGAGCAGCATCTCTCTGCTCCAGAACCTTCGGGTCAAATCCAGAGCATACAGAGGAGGAACGTGAAGGCTGACTGTCTGAATTTTTCTAAAATGAAATAACATGACTTTGGCAATGACCTTTGTCTGAATTTGTGCCTTTTTGTTTTTTCCCCCCTTCTCAGACAAATCCCAAGCAATCACATTGCTGCCCTGTATTATCTCTATTTTGGTGACATCACCACAAGACAGCCCAGCACTAATATTTCAGAAGGTGTCCTAGGCTAGGGGTTCCGAGGGCTGATCAGAGATTGAAGGCTCCATGAGGAATTTAAGGGGGAAAGTCTCCTCTTGCTAAAAAGGTGATATATGGGCAGGAAGAAAATGATGGCCATCTTTAACCAAAACATCAGACAATTGACTCCCTAGAGAAAGTTGGGATTTCTGTGTGGCCCATGAATTCATAATTGTTAGGGCTGCTGAGGGGGGGACCTCTGAGAGGGGATGAGAAAGAGAGCTCCCGGGCAAAGCCCTGGAGGTGGGATGCCGTGTGGTGACAAGGTCAGAAGAGGCAGGGCCATCGGAGCTGGGACTGAGTGAGGTGCTGACACCCGCTCTGAAATCGGAGCAGGAAGAAAGGTCACTGTGAAGAGCTCCCAGAGAAGCAGGCGACGTTAATAAAACACAATCTATTCTGAGACGGTCAAAAAGGGTATTTAATTTCAGGGCTCTAGGAACATCTAGGCAGGGGAAAATATTAAAGGTTACTGAGAAAATGCATCTCCAATGGTCATGCTTTTCTTCACAAAGATAAGTGGAAAAGAGTAACAAAACATGTTCACAGCTTTGAAAGAAAAAGTATGAGAACTTTATGAATATATTTTTATGCAAAGGCACAGAATTATTCATATATATATATATATGACATCACATTATCTTCCTGAAAAATCTTCTTTGAGGAAATATTTCTGCCTATTGGGAATTGTTTCAAAATGAAGAACTCAAGCAGAGGGAAGGGGATTGAATAATAATAGCAAGGTAAGCAATGAGTCAGAAAAACACAAAATGTTTACAAACAACTATGAATATAGTTGTGAAGTATTTCAGAAGAAAATCTGGGAAGTTGAGTGAGAAGAGAGGGTAGAAGGAAAGAAGTCCTGTTACATTTCTATGTGGGCATTGAGGCATCTCTTTTGCTTTTTACTTTGATATTAAATTTAAAACTAAAGATAAGCTATCCTAGAATGAAATAAAAATGGAGAAAAAGATCTTATTAGTTTCCTATGGCTACTGGAACAAATCACCACAAACTCTGTGGCTTAAACCAACATAAATGTATTCTCTCGCATTTTTGGAGACCAGAGGTCCAAAATCAGTTACAGAGGCTCAAATCAAGGTGTTCTCAAGGCCCTCCCCCCCCTCCCCTTTTTTTTGAGATCCTAGAGGAACATCAGGACCTCCTCTCCAGCTGCAGGTGGCTGCCAGCATTCTTTGTCTTGTGACCACACCCATCCCATCACTGAGTCCATGGCTACAATCCCTCCTCTGTCTCTGTGTCACCTCCCCGCTTATAAGGATGATTGTAGGGGACCCACCACGATAATGCAGTCATCTCCACATTTCAAGATCCTTAGTTTAATTACATCTGCAAAGATTTTTGTGGTCCCCCCCTCCCAAGGTAAACATGCATAGGCATTAGAGATTAGGAACTGGGTATTTTTTGAGGGCCACTTTTAGCCTACCATAATTAGTTACCAAATAGAAAGGAAAACACAAGCGAACAGGAAGGAATTTAAGACAGAAAGATTAAATGAGGTGGCTGAAATAACACCAAACATGACTCGTCACAATCAGAGATGGCTTGAGCCCCTTCACTGAAACAAACAAGGACTGGTTACAAAACTGTCCCCAAATCCAACCGTGTCCTGTTTAGAAGAGAAACCTCTAAAACCAAATGGTTATCAAAGTTTACAAATGGAGTGATAGATAGGTAGGTCAAGCAATTAAAAATGAAAAGGAGGCAGTCATTCCAATACTACTATCCAACAAATTAAATTTAAGGCAAATAGCACTTTGTGGGATAAAGGGATTATTTCTGTTAACAAAGGATACAAAAACATCATGGCAAGAAAATAAGTAATAAACTTATATTAATAACCTAACACTAAATATAAGCTACTAAAATGTTCAGAGCTTTACAGAGGAACAAATACAATTATACATAGATAGAAAAAAAAAACCAAATTTAAGAATAATATACATTACTATAAAATATCAAGGTAACATTTCAAAAATTGGTCATAATGAAACTATAAAAAAAACAACAACCCTCAATAGATTCCAAAAAGTGACACTTGTGCCAATTTACAAGCAATAAAAGCTGACATTAGTATTATGTTTTTTTTTTTTTAATACCACTTGGAAATTTAAACGCCCCTATAATTAACTTGAGTCAAAAAGGAAACCAAAGTATAATTATAGTCAATTCATAAATGTCAACAATGAGAATTCTACACATCAACAACATATGGGATACCATTTGGAGAACAGGCGGCAGTTTGAGGACATATGTTTGAATTCTCACTACCCCACCCCTCAATTCTGACAAAAATGACCTAGGAAGTTAGAAACCAAATAAAATCTTGGGGAGATGTGAGATTTAAATAGAGGAAATTTAGAGAAATTTTATTTTTAAAGATTCCAGACTGGCTTCATTTAAAGGAGGATTCCTAGAGTGACTTAAAAAAATGTTTAATGTACTTTATTTCTATAGAGCAATTGTAGATTTACAGAAAAAATTGAGAAGGTGGTACAGGTTGACTGTGGAAATCTGTTTCTGGCCTCTGTTCTGTTCCATTGATCTACTTGTTGGTTCTCTCACCAATTCCATACTGCCTTAGTTACTATAGCTTTATTTGAAGTCTTGAAATCAGATTGCTCTTCTCACTTTCTTCTTCTTCTGTATTGTGTTGGCTATTCTGTGTCTTGTGCCTGTCCATATAAACTTTAGTTTGTCTGTATCTATAAAATAACATGGCGGGATTTTGATTGGGATTGCATTGAATTTTTAAATTACATTGGGCAGAATTGACATCTGAACAATAGTGAGTTTGCCTATCTATGAACATGGAGTATCTATCCACTTGTTTAGATATTCTCTCATCAGAGTTTTGTGGTTTTAAAATATTTATCTTGCATGTATTTGTTAAATTTACATCTTAGTATTTCATAGCTTGTTGCTACATAACTGCTGTTGTGGTTTTAATTTTACATTAAAAATTTTATTGCTGATATATTAAAAAAACAATTGACTTTTATATATTAACTTTGTATTCTGTAATCTTACTATTTCCATTTAATAGTCCTATAGGGTTTTCCTCCTATTTTTTTGGATTGCTTATATAAACAGTCTTGCTTGTGAGCAAAGTTGTTTTTATTCCAGTCTGTTTCCTTTCATTTGCTTTCCTTGTCCCTTTGAATTAGTTGGCACTTTGAGTGCAGCACTGAGTAGGAATGGCGAGAGGGAGCATCTTTGCCTTGTTCTCAGTCTTAAGAGGAAAGTTTCTGGTTTCTTACCATTAAGTATGAGGTTATTTTAAAAGGCTTTTTGTAGATATTCTTTATCAAGTTGAGGAAGTTTCCAACTATCAGTTTTCTTAGAGTTTTAAAATAAAAATAAAAATAAATGAGTGTTGAATTTTGTCAAATACTATTGATGAGACCATATACATTTTCTTTACCTGTTTGATGTAATGGACTACATTAATGAATTTTTTTGCACATTTTGTAATTGTCTCACAGTTCTTGGATATTTCATTATTTTTTTTTTTAATACACATCTTTTAGAGTTAAGTTCACAGCCAAACTGAGTGGCAGGTACGGAGACTTCCCATAAACTCACAGCCATCACTTGGCACAGCCTCCCTCATTATCAAAATCCCGCACAGGAGTGTCGCAATCAATGGACAGATGCCTGGAACTGGTGTGTCTTCCAGTCTTTGCAGAGAGTCTGTGTGAATGCTGGGCATAGTTTTGACACAGCCAGACAATGGCAGCTCTGCCTTTGCCTCCATTTCCTGCTTGTACAAAGCTTTAAGGTCAGGCAAAGGTGAGCAGTCAGGGCCTTCTCTCTTTCTTCCCTAGCACGGGTCAGGCAAACCCAATAAGGCAAGTTCAATTCTTTTGGATAAGCAATCCAAAAGAATAGGAGGAAAACTCTATAGGACTATTAAATGGAAATAGTAAGATTACAGAATACAAAGTTAATATATAAAAGTCAATTGTTTTTTCATATATCAGCAATAAAATTTTTGAACTAAAGTTAAAACCACAATAGCATTTATGTTGCACCAAACTATGAAATACTAAGGTGTAAATTTAACAAAATACATGCAAGATAAATATTTTAAAATCACAAAACTCTGATGAGAGAAGTCAAAGAATATCTAAGCACAGGCATCATCCTCAGTGTGCCCGTTGTCTTCTACATTCTCAGGGCTCTGTCAGAGGTTTTCTAAACCCCTACGAATATCTCATTATTAAGCTTATTTAAAAAAATATATGTATATGTGTATATATACGTGTGTATACACACACATATATATATATATACATACACACACATACATATATGTATATATACATACACACATATACACATATACACATATACTTACATATACATATATGTGTATATATATTTAATTTTATTACGTTTATTGAGGTAACCTTGGTTAATAAAATTATATAAGCTTCAGGTGTACAATTCTATAACACATCATCTGCATATTGCATTGTGTGTTTACCACCAAAAGGCAAGTCAGCTTATGTTTATTTTTTTAAATACATTTTAAAAATATATATTTTATTGATTTTTTACAAAGAGGAAGGGAAAGAGATAGAGAGTTAGAAACATCAATGTGAGAGAAACATTGATCAGCTGCCTCCTGCACACCCCCCAATTGGGGATGTGCCTGCAACCAAGGTACATGCCCTTGACCGGAATCAAACCCAGGAGCTTTCAGTCCTCAGGCTGACGCTCTATCCACTGAGCCAAACCGGTTTTGGCTAAATACATTTTTACTAGAGGCTCAGTGCATGAAATTCATGCACTGGGGGAGGGGGCAGACCCTCAGCCTGCGCCCTCTCACAATCTGGGACATCCCTCTTACAACTCAGGACCCCTTGTTCCTAAATGTCCACCTGCTAGCTCCTAATGGCTTCTATGCTCGCTCCTTACTGCTTGGCTCACCTCCCCTTAGTGCTGCTGCAAAGGCAAGAGAGGCTCGTAACACTGCTGCTGCACTCACCAGCCACGGGCCTGGCTTCTGGCTGAGCAGCACTCCTGCTGTGGGAGCGCCCTGACCACCAGAGGGCAGCTCCTGCGATGAGCGTCTGCCCCTGGTGGTCAATGAGTGTCATAGTGACCAGTCATTCTGGTCATTCTGCCCACCATAAAGGTTACTGGGCTCTTATTATATAATTTTATTAGAAGGAATATTATTGACATGAATAACTCTGGGTCAAAAGGACATTTTTCAGTTAGTAATTAGAAAAGACATAGGTTATCATGTATTTGAAAAATGTGAAGGGAAGTGTGGCAGCCAGTCTCCAAGGTATCCCCAATGATCCTTGCCTCCTGATTGGCTCCTTTGTGGGTCTTTTATTTCCATTCTGAATCAGGGCTGACCATGTGACCCATGGAATAATGTGGAGGTGATGATGTATGATTTCTGAGACGAGTTCATAAAACATGTGCCTCTACCATGATCTCTTGGGTAGCTGATCCTTGGGAAAGCTGGCTGTTAGATCGTAAAATCACTAAAGAATATTTGTGGAGAGGCCCGGGTGAAGAAGACCTGAATCTTCTGTCAAAAGCTGGCACTAACTTGCCAGCCACGTGAGTGAGCTACCTTGAAAGTTAACTGATCTGTGTAGTCCAGACCAGACCTCCCAATGATGGCAGTGCTGGGCAAGAGCTGATGGAGCTCTGTGATAAGCCTTTAGCTGGATCCGCCAGGCCAACCTGTTTCTGAATGCTCCACTAAGGAAACTGTGAGATATTAAATGTTTATTGTTTTAGGCCACCAAGTATTGATGTAACTTGTTTCTCAGCAACTGATAGAGTAAGCAGTTGAAAATACTTATCTGCTTACTCTATCAATCTTCAAGAAGAAATATGGAAGCAAAAATCCTTAAGAACTATGTTTTAAATATTTTCACTGAGAAAATACTAGCCCCAGACAGTAACAGGGCTCTTTCTCATCTAAACTCACAAGATTAGGTGCTGAACACAAAAGGAGATTTTTAATTGTAACAACTTTCTATTTTCTGAATGTGGAATAATTCCATTACCAAGATTTGAAAATGATCGAACAACTGAAAATCATAATCTCACTTATGAATATAGATGCAAAGATTCTAAAAAGAAAGTCATATACTAACAAATGGAATCTAACAAGATTAAATTTTCCCAGAAATGTCTTATACCTGTAAAGCTACAATAACTTAAATCTGAAGTCCTGGCAACAAAAGTAAAATACATTAATGGGAAATCATTTTAAAAATTCAGGAATAGAACACATTGGTCCTAACACCAGTTATAAAATGGTCCATTCTTTCCATACTAAGTTCAATTGTGTTTATTGCTGTATCTTAATCTATGTTATATATATATGGATGATGTATTAATAATGAAATATATATGTTACAGAGGTAATATTTTACACCCAATATATATTTTTTTACAATTATATTTTATATTGAAGCATATTCTACAGGCAAAGTAGAATATGTCTTTAATCTAAAAATAGATACTATCAATAACTGAGAAAATAAGTATACTGGTTATAAAAGATTAAAAAAAAGGATAATAGCAATTAAGAGAAGAAATTCAAATGCCAACAAATATCGTAAAAGGTTGAATTTGGGTAGTCATACAAATTAAAACAACTGAAGAGAATACCTATTTTCTAAAAACTGCCATAATTTTTCAAAAACAACAGTATCCAATGTTGTTGGGTTAGTTTGAGGAGAAAAAGCAAAAAAAAAAAAATTGAAAAAATTTCTCGAGATTACTTAACTAGTGTTATGTATAGTATATGTGTTTGCATCTTTCCCAAATTCACATGTTAGAATCCTAAAGCCCAACTTGATGGTATTAGTAGGTGGGACCTATGAGATGTGATTAGATTATGAGGGTGGAGCCCTTATGATGGAATTAGTGCCCTCATAAAACAGACCTTAGAGCTCCGCTGCCCTTTCCACCACTAGGACATAATCAGAAGTCTGCAGCCTGAAAGAGGGCTTTCACTGGGCCATGCTAGCACATTGATCTCAGACTTCTAGCCTCCAGAACTGTGAGAAATAAATGTTTGTTGTTTGTCCAGGCTGGTGTGGTTCAGTTAGCTGAGCTTCAGCCTGTGTACCCAAAGGTCACTGCTTTGATTTTCGGTCAGGGCTCATACTTAAATAGGTAGTGGGTTCCATCCCTAAGCAGGGTACATATGGGAGGCAACTGATTGAAATTTCTCTCTCATCAGTGTTTCTCTCTCTCTTCTCCTCCTCAAATAAATAACATATTTAATTTTTTAAATGTTTGTTTATAAGCCACCTGCTCTGTAATATTTTTGTTACAACACCCTGGATGAATGGAGACAACCAGACTATGTCAAAAGCCTTACCATTTTCCTGAAAATTTTATTTAATGCTTTAATTATGAATTTTGATAATTTTATTATTGCTTATTTGGGTTTTATTTCATTAGCATAATGCTCTCCATGTTGTGAATGCTCTCCATGTTTTTTTACAGCAGCGTAGTATTCCATTGTGTAGATGTACCATAGTTTTCTAATCCACTCATCTGTTGATGGGCACTTAGGCTGTTTCCAAATCTTAGTTTTTGTAAATTGTGCTGCTATGAACATAGGGATGCATATATCCTTTCTAATTGGTGTTTCTGATTTCTTAGGATATATCCTAGAAGTGAGATTACTAGTTCAAATGGGAGTTCCATTTTTAATTTTTTTTTGGAGGAAATTCCATACTGTTCTCCACAGTGGTTGCACTAGTCTGCATTCCCACCAGCAGTGTATGAGGGTTCCTTTTTCTCCACCAGCCAGCACTCGCCAGCACTTGTCGTTTGCTGATTTGTTGTGATAGCCATTCTGACAGGTATGAGGTGGTACTACATTATCATTTTGATTTGCATCTCTTGGATGGTTAGTGACTTTGAGCATGTTTTCATATGTCTCTTGGCCTTCTGTAGGTCCTCTTTCAAAAAATGTCTATTGAGGTCTTTTGCCCATTTTTTAACTGAATAATTTATCTTTTTTTTTGTTAAGTTTATGAGTTTCCTATAAATTTTGGAGATTAAACCCTTATCAAATAGTTCACAGACCTAGAACAAACTCTCTAAAACTTCATATGGAATAAAAAAAGACCCTGAATAGCCACAACAATCCTGAGAAAGAAGAATGAAGCTTGAGGGATCACAATACAAGATATCAAGCTATGTTACAAAGCCACTTTCCTCAAAATTGCTTCGTACTGGGCACAAGAACAGACATATAGACTAGTGGAATAGAACAGAGAACCCAGAAGTTGACCCAAGCCATTATGCTCAATTAATATTTGACAAAGACAATCTCTTCAATAAATGGTGTTGGGAAAATTAGACTGATGCATGCAAAAAAGAAAAAAGAAAAAAAAGAAGAAAAAAAAAGAAAAAAAAAAGAAACTAGACCACCAACTTACACCACTCACAAAGATAAACTCAAAATGAAATAGAGGATTTAACATAGGACGAAAATCTTAGAAGAATCAATAGGCAGCAAAATATCAGACATATGTTGTAGCTATATCTTTACCAATACATCTCCTAGGGCAATAGAAACAAGAAAATAAACAAATGGGCCTACATAAAAAAGAAAAGAAAAAGCTTTTTGCACAGCAAAAGAAACCATGAACAAAACAACAAGAGAGTACACAGCCTGGGAGAATATATTTGCCAATATTATCTCCGGTAAGGGGTTAATCTCCAAAATTTATTGGGTTTTCTTTATATAGGTCTTATTTTTAGCAAAAAAAACCAACAAAAACGTTTTAAACATCTCACCAAGTTGCCTGTCCTGTCAACTAGAAGGAGGAGTGCAGTGTGCTGTGTGGGAATGAGTTTGAATGATTCCCTGGGAAGAACCCCGGAGCTGATTTGGGTGTCAGTTTGACTCATCCAGTTGGGAAGATGCTATACATACCTGCAGGTAGCGGATCACGCGGCACACCAGGTCAGGCGCCATGAAGTCCCCAGTGAAACGCCAGATAATGTCTGTCAAGATGTTCACCAGTCCTGTGAGAGAGTCTAACAAAAACACAGTGATTAATTTCCACGTCTTTCAAATTTGCAGCCAGGTGCTGCCGCAGACATGAATTCCTGGGAGATTTGTGTGTTTTTTTCCTGATTTATCAGGAGGCTGCTGAGGAAAAAGGAAGGCGACACAGGAGTCCCTGCACTTTTATTCCTGGAGCTTGTTGCCACTCGGATGCAGCCATCTAGGGAGCAATGGGTGATGACCGAAGAGGAATCGTGCTTATCATACAGTTGACCTTTTAAACACAGAAGAGAAGTTTGAAGGGGGTTTAGACCTGTGCTTAAACAAGGACTGCATGAGGATTAGTCAAAGGCAAAATTGAGAACAGGAAAATATTTGTCTTTGAGAAGCCCTGTGCCCTGCGGGGGCTGTGGAAGGTCTGTGTGCTCAGACCTGTGCTTGAAGGGATTCATTTAGTTGTGGGGCTGTGTGTGTCCATTTGGTAGGTCCAGTAATGAAATCACCATTGTGCTCGTTAGCAAACTTCAGACATTCCAGAACAAGATGATTCCTACTGAGTGACTCAAACAGGATATAGAGATGGAGAGAGGGTGCGGCTTTGAGATATACGTTATAAAGTAAAAGGAGGAGGATGTGGTGCCTGAGGTGTTCATTTTCCCCAAATTTGGCATGGCTAGTTCTGCTCCAGCATCTGTGTCCCAAAAAGTCCACCTTGCCATTGGAGGTGAGGCAGAAAGGGACATAGATCAGTCACTGTCTGAGGATGGGCTGTGGGGCTGCCTCTGCATGATCGCAGATCTTAGCAAAAACCCCATTTGCCCCCCCAAGAAAAAGGCACTTGAAAGCCACCAAGATGTGGAAACGATTGCGGAGAATGGCTTCTAGGCTCAGAGCCCATCCATCACTCAGCCAACCTGCGAATACGTGGGCACCATCATATTGGCTCCTATTGTAGGTCTGTGAGAATCTCTGGCTCACGCATTGGAGGGAGGGGTGAGGCCATTTTGTTGATGTAGTATCAAAGTCCTACATAGAAAGCTCCACGGAATTAGTGTTCTTGATCAGGAAACCTCTTGCTGGGCTTTTTCCTTCAGGCCGGAATGAATCGCATCTGATGAGTTCTGTCCTTCGTTTCGGCCAATGGGAAGCACAAAATGAAACATCCTCAGCTGCGGTAACTGGTGGAGCCTCAGAGCCTCCCTCTGGGTCTCTGTGGTTAGAGTTGAGCATTTTCTAGGACCCTCTTGTCCTGTGCTTTTTATTTTGCTGAGTGTGATCTTCCACATCCAGACAGTGAGGGCAGCATGCGTCCTAGAGCCTGACTACAGGCTCTGCCACAGAACCCCTGTGCCATCCTCAGCATGTCACTCACCACACGGAGGCGGGCTCTGTGTAAAAATGGGGTGGTAAGAGTACCCACTCTGTAGAGCCATGGTGAAGGTTAAAGGAGATAGTATGTGAAGTTCTTACTGAAACGCTTGGCACATAAACCCTTGGAACATCTTGGTGCTGATGTCAGGAGCAGAGCTGAAGGAACGGAGAGCCACAGGGACTGTGATGAGAGGGTGAGTCTCACCTTAGGTCCTGAGCTCTTAGCCCATGAGCTGGAAGAGTTTTTCTGAACAAAAAAATTAGAAACGAAAAGTTGAGGCTTTGTTTAAACTAGATCAGCCGTAAAGACGGGTTGTTTTATTTGCTAGAATGCATGCTAGTTAATTTATCAGGGTTGACATGGACTAATAAGACAGTGGTGGTTTACATGAACGGATTGGCTGTCAAGGTGAAGAGAACCAAGCCAGAATTTGAGAGAACAGAACACAAGGAAGACTGGCTGTGATGCGTGGTCCAGGGATCGGACCACTTTTTGTTAGCAGGGAGGCTGTTGGCAGGACGATTCTTTCTGAGGCTAGACTGCCCCGTGTGTCGCTGGAAAGTCAGCATCCTTGGGCTGTGGGATAACTCTAAATGCCCCAGGACTGGGTCCACGGGGAATCACTGAAATATGAAAGGACATTTGGGATTGAGACTATAGCCTGGCACCCTGAGAACAGTCCTACCCTACACCTTGTCATGATTAGGCCTGTGGCACTTTCACACAAATGTGTCCTGGGACATTCCACAAGATACCTAACCTGTACTATTTCTATAATGTGTATACACAAAGAAAGACTGAGAAATTATTCTAGATAAGACTAATCATACATGAGGACGGAACACAATGCATGACCCAGGGTTTCTTTTGCTCTGAAAGATGTTCTCAGGGCGACTGGTAAAAAAGGTGAAGGGGTTAAGAAAACAATTCATAGACACAGACAACGGTGTGGTGATTATCAGAGGGGAAGGGGGTGGGGAAGGTGGAAGAGGGTGCAGGGGGATAAATGGGGAATGGAAGGAGACTTGACTTGTAGATATAATTCTACCTCTTAGGGGTTATGATGAGGATTACATTAAGCAGAGCATGGAAGCCAGAAGCAGGCCCCGGTGCACAGCCCCTGCTCTGCTCACTTCCCCAGGAGAGAGCTGGGAAAATATGAGTAATGTGCCAAAAGCCACAGACGCGGTAGTAGAGCCCAGATTCAAACTGTGGTCTCCAGACTCCCCCAATTGTTTTTGTACAGTTTTTAAATGAAGAATGGCTTTTATAATGTTTTAATTATTGAAAGGAATAAAAAGGAGAACAATACTTTGTGGCACACGGAAAGTCTATGAAATTCAAATTTCAGGATGGACAAATGAAGTGCTGCTGGGGCCAAGACATGCCACTTGCTCACACTCTGTCCGTGCTGCCTTCATGCTCCGGCAGCAGAGCTGGGGACCAGATGTCCCCCAAAGCCCAACATGTTTAATATCTGGCCCTTTGCAGAAAAGCTGGCTGCCCCCTGCTTGGGACTCAGGCCCTGACCTTTCCATTATGTCTGCATGCTGGTGGGCCCAGACTCCTGGTGACCTCGCCAAAGCCTGTGGGGCTCCTAAGAAATCGTTAAATTCCATGCAGGTTGCACTGATGTCCTTCCTGCTGGCTCACACAGGAGAGCTTTGAAGGGACCAGATGGGAACAGATTTCCTCTCTCATCTTAACAAAATTCCAGTCTCTCTCTCCTTCTTGTTCAGGATTTGATTAATTAGGACATGAAGGGAAGAAAGAACAATCCAGGCTGCTGGGCAGGGCTGGGTTGGCAGCCTGAGCTGCTGTGGGCCCAGCTCCTGCTCCCATTCTGAGAGGCTTCCCTAAGCCCCACCCCACCCTGTCTAGAGGAGGTTGTGATGTCGGGGGTTGAACGCAACTATAGAGTCAGGGACCTGTGGTTGCTCCGTGGCTCTCCACTTGCTGTTGGACTTTGGGCAAGTGATTTCAGCTTCTCTCAGGTTCAGTTTCCATAGGTCTAACTGGGAGGAATGGATGAATCTATTGCTTGGGTAATTTGTAGGATTAAATGAGAAGGTATATATGAAAATATTTTTGTTTGTTTTGCAAAGGATTGGCTGAGTGAGCACTCAGTAAATGTTAACTATTATTTTTTTTCTGCTCAATTGTCAGCAGGGAAGGAGCTAAATCTTAGAAGCCAATTAAAAAGCGCTAGAAGGTGTTTTAAAAACAAATTTTTTTTAAATAAAAAAAGTGATACTAGCACACAATACAAAAGTCAAGTAGTGCAACAATTCACATGTGTGTCTCATGAAACAGCATGTCCGGAAAGTTCAGTGCAGCACTGCTCATAATGGCTTTAAACTGGAAATTATCCACATGCCCATCACCAGCAGAAGGGGGAAATCAGCTGTGGCATGTCCATGCAATGGAATACTCTTCAGTAAAGAGAGTGGCAGCCTTATAAACTTGAGGTATGTATAATTACTATATCAAGATTACAAGTCATTTGGTCTGGTCATCAGGTGGACATCCCCTAGGGCTCCCAGGCTGAGACCCCCATCCCAAGTGCACAAATTTCATGAACTGGGCTTCTAGTGATGTTATAAATATCCAAATGGCCCTTGGCAGAAAAAAAAAAAAGGTTTCCCACCCCTGCTGAAGGGGGAGGCAATTATTTCTATTCCTAGAAGGAATTATGTAAAGATCCTCAGTCTATTTGTTAGGAATTCAGGCAGTGGGGGAGATGGGTGCAGTGACCCAAGCTAAGTCTCACAGATTCTTCCTCCAGGATTTGATAATGGAGACTCAGTAGGTTCCTTTCCTAGGTCACCACCCCACCCCCAGGCAGAAGAATCCCAACACTCCAGTTGGTCTTCTCCCACCTGTGCCCACCCCCAGGTCAGCCCTCCCAAACCAAATACCTCTCATTGTAAATAAATGTAACTGACTGAAAATTAGTCCTAATTCTCCAGGGCTAACAGCTAAAGCCACTTATTCTCTTACCAGCATTTTTATTTTAACGAGGGCATCAAACCTTGGCCCGGAGAGCCTCTCTAATGGAAAGATTCCAGGAAGCGTGGAATGCAGAGAGAGGAACAGAATGGGTTGGCAGCTCGCCCGAGGTCACACAGCAAGGTGGTGGCAGAGCTGTGAATAAAACCCAGCTGCCCTAACTCCCATCTCGCACAATTGCCCAGCCTGAGGCTGCTGCTTGTTTGCTGGCACTGCTGACTTGTCTGCCTCTCTCTTAGCTGTGTTAGTGACTGTGGCGTGAAGAGGCTGTGATGTGAGACCTGAACAGACCTCCCTTACCGCCAGAGCTGAGCATGAAAAGCTGTAGGAAGCCTGATCAATAGATATTATGCAAATGCATAGAGCAATAACATTCCCTTCCATTACTGAGCTAACAGTCCCAGTAAAGAACATGCTTGGATGCTGACAGTTTTATTTTTCCTGATTTGTCAAACTGAAATCAGGGTCTAACTGATGGCCATATGAAAGCATAAAAGGCACATGTCTGGCAGAGGCCCAATTCCTTTTTCTCTGAATTAGAGGCCCTTGCTCCAGCAGTTGGCAAAGGTCCAGGCTCTGTGCACATCAATTATGCTCTCTGGCTGAGAGCCTTGCTGAGCAGAACAAGGCAGTAAAATACCTACAATG